TTGAAGAGGCTGTTGATTGGACAGACTTGGGAGGGGCTGTTGTTTGGATAGAAATGGAGGGGCTGTCGTTTCGATAGACGTGGGAGGGGCTGCTGTTTGGATAGACGTGGGAGGGGCTATGGTTTGGATAGACGTGGAAGGGGCTGTTGTTTGGATAGATGTGGAAGGGGCTATAGTTTGGATAGACGTGGAAGGGACTATGGTTTGGATAGACGTGGAAGGGGCTGATGTTTGGATAGATGTGGAAGGGGCTGCTGTTTGGATAGACGCGGGAGGGGTTGTTGTTTGCATAGCTGTGGGAGGGGTTGTTGTTTGGATTGACGTGGAAGGGGATGTTTGGATAGATGTGGAAGGGGCTGTTGTTTGGATAAATGTGGAAGGGGATGTTGTTTTGATAGACGTGGAAGGGGCTGTTGTTTGGATGGACGTGGAAGGGGCTGTTGTTTGGATGGACGTGGAAGAGGCTGTTGTTTGGATAGACGTGGAAGGGGCTGTTGTTTGGATGGACGTGGAAGGGGCTGTTGTTTGGGTGGACGTGGAAGGGGCTGTTGTTTGGATAGACGTGGAACCGGAAGGGGCTGCTGTTTGGATAGACGTGGAAGGGGCTGCTGTTTGAATAGACGCGGGAGGGGTTGTTGTTTGGATTGACGTGGAAGGGGCTGTTGTTTGAATAGATGTGGAAGGGGCTGCTGTTTTGATAGTAGTAGGCGGGGCTGTTGTTTTGATAGTAGTAGGCGGGACTGTTGATTTGATAGTGGTAGGCGGAGCTGTTGTTTTGATAGTAGTAGGCGAGGATTTTGTTTCTATGCTGGTAAGAGTGCCTGTTTTTAATATAGTAGGAGAGGCTTTTGTTTGGATAGTAGTAGAAGGTACTGTTGTGCTGATAGTCATAGGGTGGGCTGTTGTCTGAAAGTTACTAGGCGAACCACCTTCAGTGACGACTGTTGTAGACAGAGCTGTTGTCTGGGAGGTAGTGGGCGTTGTTTGCATTTTTGTGGTCTTTGTTATGTACGCTTTACTTTGTCGATCTGTTGTCCTTAAGGCCTTTGTTGCTGTAGTCGTTGTCTTGATAATTGTTAGATGGGTAGTGGAAGGCAACGGAGCAGTGGAAGTAGGAACTGTTCTTGTCCCAGAATCAAATGGAGCTGTTTCCTCCATAGTTACGGTTGTCTCATGTGTTTTGAGAACACCTGTTATGTCCACAGTACTGTGAGATGTTCGTTTTCTAGTAATGGAATGAGCTGTAGTTGTTAAAGTACTAAGATGATCTGTCATCAGAGTAGAAGTGGATTGGGAAGCTGTCATCCTATTTGTAGCTGAAGTCGCAGTATCGCTTGCAGTTTGAGAAACTGTGGCTGAGAGGAGAGTGAAGGGTTTTGATAACCAGAATTAAAGAATAAAAACATCATATGTTAGTGCCATGTATAATAGGTTAAAACGGTATCTGTTTTCTTACCGGTGGTTAAGTTGACAGTTGTCTTGATGGTAGATGGGAGAACTGTCGTCTGAACTGTAGTGGGTCGAAAGGTAGTCGTAGGAGCTGTGGTCCAAATAGTAAGTTCATTATTTAGTAGTTGAAATGATAAACAGTAAAAATTGAAAATGAAATAATGTTTTATTATATAACAGAGCAAAAAATAACTAAGGCACAATCATTTTCACAATACTTAAAACTACTCGTCTCTACGTACGCATACAGTAGACCAGGGAGCACACTCGTCCACTACTGAAAGCGTACTTCCTGTGAAAGCTAGTGCAGCGACAGCAGTGATGGGTGCTAATGCCTTTAAGTTATCTACTTTATCTACTGTGCAGGTGAACTAATGCGCAACAGCTACAGTGGTCTAGACCTTTGCCCTAACAGCAGTGTGGGGAACTACAATCTGAACAGCAGTGCACGGTGGAAGCTATTGATTGATTCTTTTTGGCTGTGGTGGCAGCTGTTTTCATACCAGTGGTCAGGAGAATTGTTGTGTTGACAGAAGTGCCCTGGGCTGTTGTCTGTGTGGTTGTAGGAGATATTTTTGTGCTGGTAGTGGGATAAATTGTTGTCTGGCTGGTGGTAGAAAGTGCCGTAGTGAATGGGGCCGTTGTCTGGACACTAGTGGACGGGGCCGTTGTCTGGACGCTAGTGGACGGGGCTGTTGTCTGAATGCTAGTAACCGGCGCCGTTGTCTGGGCTGTTGTCTGGATGCTAGTTACAGGGGCTGTTGTCTGGATGCTAGTTACAGGGGCTGTTGTCTGAATGCTAGTAACCGGTGCCGTTGTCTGGGCTGTTGTCTGGATGCTAGTTACAGGGGCTGTTGTCTGAATGCTAGTAACAGGGGCTGTTGTCTGGATGCTAGTAACAGGGGCTGTTGTCTGGATGCTAGTGACAGGGGTTGTTGTCTGAATGCTAGTAACCGGCGCCGTTGTCTGGGCTGTTGTCTGGATGCTAGTTACAGGGGCTGTTGTCTGAATGGTAGTAACAGGGGCTGTTGTCTGGATGCTAGTGGCCGGGGCTGTTGTCTGGATGCTAGTTAAGGGTGCTGTAGTTTCCACAGTCGTTGAAGGGGCTGTTGTCTCCAAGGTTGTACTTGGGGCTGTTGTCTGGATGGTAGTTAAGGGAGCTGTTGTCCGGATACTAGATAGAGGTGCTGTCGTCTGAATAGTAGTGGGAGGGGCTGTTGTTCTAGAAGTAGTTTTTAGAGGGGCTGTTGAAACTATAGTAGTTAGTGGTACTGATGTCTCGATTGTGGTGGGAGGGGCTGTTGACAGTACTGTAGTTGGAATGGCTGTAGTTTCAACAGTAATGGGAGAAGCTGTTGTCCTGATGGCAGTGGAGAGCACTGTTGTCTCTACGGTGTTGGGTGAGAGAGTTGATGTGAAAGCAATGGACGGAGACCTTATTTTACTTTTGTAGTCAAGGTTTATGTATCAATAGCAGCAACTATATCAATAAAGATGTAGATATGATGTAATGAAAATTGGACTGTTTCATTGACCTAAACAACAACATTATACATATGAAAGATACTGTTTACCGTAATAAAGAACCCCGAAGATTTGTTTTCTTACCAGTGGTGAAGGCTGTTGTTTTGACAGTAGTTGGGAGAGCTGTTGTCTCAGCAGTTGTAGGAGGAGCTGTTGTTTGTGTAGTAGTGGATGGGGCTGTTGTCTTAATGGTAGTGGGTGGAGCTGTTGTTTCAATGGACGTAGGAGGAGCTGTGAAATAGCAACAGATATGCTTTGTCAGCGATAGTCGGCAGAGTCGTCATTTGTTGTGAATTGAACGAAGGTTTAGTGCATTGACAGCAGTGGTGAAAGCTAACCCATTTAATCTAACTACAGTGCAATTTACTTATACCTGAACAGTAGTGGTGACCACAAATGTTTTCTCCTTGACCATAGTGGGGGTGGGGGTAACTAAAACCTTGGACGCAGTGCAGTGTGGAAGCTACAATAACCTAGGAGGTAGTGAGGTCAACTTTCGTCTTGACTGTGGGGTAAGTTGTTTCATACCAGTGGTCAGGAGAATTGTTGTATTGACGGTGTCGCGGGCTGTTGCCTGAATGGTCGTAGCAGGTGATACTGTTTTTGTGGCAGTTGGAAATACTGTTGTTGTCTGGATGGTGATAGGAGGTTCTGTTGTTACCGCGGTAGCTAGAGGGGCTGTGGTTTGGATGCTAGTTAAAGGTGATGTTGTATTTTGAATTGTATTGGGAAGGTCCGTTGTCTTCATAGCTGCAGTAGATGCTGTTGTTTGAATTGTGTTGAAAGGGGCTGTTTTCTGGGTGGTAGTAGGAGGAGCAGTTGTCTCCATGGTTGTAGTAGCAGAAGTTGTCTCTATTTTAGTGAGAAGAGATATTGTCTGTGCTGTAGTTTCAACTGTTGTGGAAGACACTGTTGTCTGGATGCTAGTTAAGGGTGCTGTAGTCCCCGCAGTTGTGGAAGCGGATGTTGTCTGGATGCTAGTTAAGGGTGCTTTAGTCTCCACAGTTTTGAAAGGGGCTGTTGTCTGGATGCTAGTTAAGGGTGCTTTACTCTCCACAGTTGGGGAAGGGGATGTTGTCTGGATGCTAGTTAAGGGTGCTTTAGTCTCCACAGTTGTGGAAGGGGGACTGTTGTCTGGATTCTAGTTAAGGGTGATTTAGTTTTAGAAAGGGCTGTTGTCTGGATGCTAGTTAAGGGTGCTGTAGTCTCCACAGTTGTGGAAGCGAATGTTGTCTGGATGCTAGTTAAGGGTGCTTTAGTCCCCACAGTTTTAGAAGGGGATGTTGTCTGGACGCTAGTTAAGGGCGCTTTAGTCTCCACAGTTGTGGAACCGAATGTTGTCTGGATGCTAGTTAAGGGTGCTGTAGTCTCCACAGTTGTGGAAGGGGATGTTGTCTGGATGCTAGTTAAGGGTGCTTTAGTCTCCACAGTTGTGGAACCGAATGTTGTCTGGATGCTAGTTAAGGGTGCTGTAGTTTCAACTGTTCTGGAAGGGGCTGTTGTCTGGATGCTAGTTAAGGGTGCTTTAGTCTCCACAGTTGTGGAACCGAATGTTTTCTGGATGCTAGTTAAGGGTGCTTTAGTCTCCACAGTTGTGGAAGGGGTTGTTGTATGGATGCTAGTTAAGGGTGCTTTAGTCTCCACAGTTGTAGAAGGGGATGTTGTCTGGATGCTAGTTAAGGATGCAGTAGTCTCCACATTTGTGGAAGGGGGTGTTGACTCGATGCTAGTTAAAGGTGCTGTAGTTGCAACTGTTCTGGAGGGCGCTGTTGTCTGGACGCTAGTTAAGGGTGCTTTAGTCTCCACAGTTGTGGAACCGAATGTTTTCTGGATGCTAGTTAAGGGTGCTGTGGTCTCCACAGTTGTGGAAGGGGATGTTGTCTGGATGCTAGTTAAGGGTGCTTTAGTCTCCACAGTTGTGGAAGCGAATGTTGTCTGGACGCTAGTTAAAGGTGCTGTAGTCTCCACAGTTGTGGAAGGGGATGTTTTCTGGACGCTAGTTAAAGGTGCTGTAGTCTCCACAGTTGTGGAAGCGAATGTTGTCTGGACGCTAGTTAAAGGTGCTGTAGTCTCCACAGTTGTGGAAGGGGATGTTGTCTGGACGCTAGTTAAGGGTGCTTTAGTCTCCACAGTTGCGGTAGGGGGTGTTGTCTGGATGCTAGTTAAGGGTGCTTTAGTCTCCACAGTTGTGGAAGGGGGAGCTGTTGTCTGGATGCTAGTTAAAGGTGCTGTAGTCTCCACAGTTGTGGAACCGAATGTTGTCTGGGCGCTAGTTAAGGGTGCTTTAGTCTCCACAGTTGTGGAAGGGGCTGTTGTCTGGATGCTAGTAAAGGGTGCTGTAGTCTGCTGTAGTCTGGGAGTTGTTGACTGGACGGTACTGAAAGTTGCTGTTTTTCGAGTACCAGATAGGTGTGCTGTGGTCTGAATAGTAATGGGTGTGGCTGTCTTTTCAACGGTAGTTGGTAGAGTTGCTTTTGCCTTAGTAGTTGGAGGGGCTGTTGTTCTGATTGTAGTTTTTAGAGGGGCTGTTGACAAAATACTAGTTAGTGGGACTGCTGTCTCGATTGTGGTGGGTGGGGCACTTCGAGTGGCTGTAGATTCAATAGTAGTGGTGGGGGCTGTTGTCCTGATGGCAGTAGACAGCGATGTTGTCTCTACGGTGTTGGGTAAGAGAATTGATGTGAAAGCAATTTTTTAATCCTATCGTCGTCTGACTTTTGTAAACAAGGTTTATGTATCAATAGCCGCAACTGTATTGATTTCTGAGACAATAGACGCCAAAACTGTAGGTACGAGGTAATGGAAATGTACTGTTTAATTGACCTATACAACAAAATGTTACAGGAAAGATTATTGTTATCTGAAAAAGAACCTTGAAGCAGATTTTTCTTACCAGTGGTGAAGGCTGTTGTTTTGACAGTAGTTGGGAGAGTTGTTGTCTCAGTGGTAGGAGGAGCTGTTGTTTGTGTAGTAGTGAATTGGACTGTTGTTTCAATGGTAGTAGGTGGGGCTGTTGTGGTGAGTGGAGTTGTTGTCTCAATAGTAGTGGATGGAGCTGTTGTCTCGCTAGTAGTTGGGGTAGCTGTGGTAGGAGTGGTACATTTGTTATTCTTTATCACTATAGTCAAGAGGGTTGCCATTTCTACCTTACGAGAGCAATTACGTCCACATGTGAAAGTTTAGTGCATTGACAGCAGTAACTATGGATACTAACCCCTATATGCTAACTACTGTGCAAATAACTAATGCCTCAACAGCAGTGGTGACCTGGAAACTATTGCTTTGACTGCGGTGGGGGCTACAACCTTGGATGCAGTGCACTGTGAAAGCTGTAATAACCTTGGAGCTAGTGAGGTTAACTTTCATCTTGACTGTGGGGCAGCTGTTTTCATACCAGTGGTCTGTAGAATTGTTGTGGTGACAGAAGTAGTCGGGCCTGTTGTCTGGATGGAGGTTGGAGAAGTTGTAGGTGTAGGTGTCGTCTTGATAGTAATTGGAGCAGTTGTTGTCTCAATAGTGGTTAAATGGGCTGTTGTCTCTATAGTACTAAGATTTAAGGTTGTTTCTATAGAAGTAGGTAGAGATGTTATCTGGATAGTAGTGTGAGGGGTTGTTGTCTGAACGGTAGTAGGGGAGACTGTTGTTGAGATAGTAGGAGAGTCTGTTAACTTGATAGTAGTAGGATGGGATGTTGTCTCCATAGTAGTTGGAGGGACCGTTGTCTCTTTTGTAATTGGGTATGATGTTGCCTCAATAGACGTAAGTGGGGCTGTTGTTTCAGTAGTAGTGGGAGGGAATGTTGTCTCTATTGTTGTTGGATAAGCTGTTGTCGTTAGAGTAGTTGGAGGTGCTGTTTTCTTAATCGTAGTCCTCAAGGCTGTTGTTCGAATAGTCGTAAAATGGGCCGTGGTCTCAATAGTAGTAGGCGATGGCGTTGTCCTAATGGAAGTAGGAGGGCCTGTTGTCTCTATGGTAGATTCTTTTACTGTTGTTTTAAAGGAGGTAGGAGGCATTGTTGTCTCCATTGTTGTTGGATAGGCTGTAGTTCTACTAACAGTAGTAGGAGGGGCCGTTGTCTCAATAGTAGTGGGAGGTGATGTTGTTTGTATAGCAGTTGTAGAAGGGGTTGTTGTTACACTGGTAGAAGGAGGGCCTGTTGTCTCTATTGTAGATTCATATGTTGTTGTCTTAAGGGAGGCAGGAGGCATTGTTGTCTCCATTGTTGTTGGATAGGTTGTAGTTCTA